CCCCAAAACCCCAAAACCCCAAAACCCCATAAAATGCATATTGAGTTAAATTATTGAAGATACAAAAATCTTTATTACTAATTATCTTCAAGAGAAAAGATCACTAGTCTTTCTTGCTCTCCTAGGTCTATTCTGCAGGAGGTTGAGTCTAGGCTTGAGGCTAGACTTAAGGCTTGTCTGTATTTTGAGTTGAGGTCTCATCCTCATCTTCTTCTTCGTCATCAGAGCCATCAGCTGGAGCCATATCCATCATTTATTACATCATGCTTGGAGCTTTCATTGCTTAGATATCTTCCTCATCATATTCAATAGGTGCTCTGTAAACTTCTTACTTAACGTCAATCATTACACTCACCTTTTTATCAAAGCCTCTGTAGGAGTCGTTTCTTAGGATCATGAAGAATTGCATTCTACCTGGTCTTGAAAGTCTCTCCTTTATTTCCTTAATATAAACTTTTTCCTTTATTACTAATTTTTCCATAGCAAGGAAATCGTTCTCCTCAGCGTCGGTGAAAACAAGGAACCAAGAACTTTATTTGAGGAATGGGAATTTGTTACTATGAACGAATCCTAAGGTGTCTTTTTCCTCAAGGTTTTTTTGAGTGATTTTCAATTTGATTGTAAGAATATCGCCTACTGCAATTTCTTTTTCTCCCTCAACAAAGTACTCTATAGTTACATCAATAACTGGGAAGCACCTAATTGATTTTTCAGAGTCCTCGAATTGCTTTGGATCAGAGTAAAGAGCGCACTCTTTTCTTTACTCAGCTGACATTAAGCAATATTGCTCTAAGGTAAGATTCTTGTGTTTCTTTCTGATATCTTTGAATTGGTCGTAATTAACATGAGGTAGTTGGAGGAATGGATCATCGTCTTACCACATTCCTTGAATCAGATTTTACGAGAAAGAGATCAAGGTAAGAACATTTCTAGCATTAATTCTCTTTCTTGATCTGCCAAATTTGAATTCCATGGCTAGAATCATTGCCATTTGTAGCATTTGCTCCATTAGATATGGTGCTTTGCTCAAAATATAGTTCAATTCTTCCTATAAAACCTCTTGTTCAATCTCGGACATTCTTAGCATGTAAGCAAGAATAATACAAATAGCTTTCAGATTTGCTGGAACTCTATTTGGTAAAACCTTAGGAATTAGTTCCTTGACATTTTCATCCTACTTAATCTGGTTAATGAGATTTTTTTCCTCTTCGCTCTTTATACCCATTTTCTAATATTCAAGACTGCACGCTAGAATTGTCGGGCAATTCTTATAAAGCATATTTTCATTTAATAAGAAAGCAAATATTCTTCTATTTTCCACATCTACATCTCCTATATCTTTATTCGACGCTTCAAGATTACTAAAACATCGTGTTAAACTGCAAATAAACTTACAAGTAGAAAAATCCTGGGATTATAATCAGAAGTACTAAGAAGAAGGCACATAGCACTGACACTTAATATTCTTTTTAAAGAAGGAATCTGGGCAAAGCGATAGCAACTTGGAAACTACCTGGACCATCAGGATTACCATATTTCTCCCAGTTTGATCTAGCAGTCTCATCTGTCAAAGTCTAAACAATAATTAGATGCATTGATTCTTACAGTGTAAGCCTTTGTGATTTGAATGAACTCGCTCACAGCAAGTGGATCATCCGGGTTCTTATCTGGATGCTTAATTAGAGATAATTTTCTGTAAGCTCTCTTCACTACATTAGGTTCGCTGCCTACCTCGATTCCTAATATTTGGTAAGGATCAAAAGACTTTAATGGCTCAATTTTGCTAATTTAATCAGCTGATAAGTACCATAGTCCCCACATGACAACAGCTAGAGCTACTTTGAAGTAGAAGCTAGTCTTTAGCCAAGTTCTTTTGTACGCATTTTTACGTTGCTTCACCGTAGTCGTACATTTACTACATTCACAATTTATACCAACTACATCAAATTTCTTTTCTCCCATAATCATAGTTTTGAGAATGTTGAAAGTAAGAGGAATAAGTCCGACTGTCAATATGGAAATAAAAAAGTAGTAAAAGGCAGAATCATCATAGTCTAGGAGTTTCTCCTCTTCTCTATGAAAGTTATCTTGGAAGTTAGACATGCAGAACCTCTAAAGATTTATTTATTAATTATTTAGATAGGTATATTATTAATTTAAATTTTTATGATTTGTACTTTTTATAATATATATCTTAGCCAGGGGTTTTGGGGTTTTGGGGGTGATTAGAATCTTTTGTGC